GTTCATTCATGACTTAATTGAACCATACATTTCAAAAATATTGTTTCTTTTATGTTTTTTAAAATAAATGCAGTGTTGTTTATTTGTATAACTTTAGAACAACTACTACTTAACAACAAACACCAAAGCAAAAAGTCTGGCAATAATTATTGATTCTTATTTGTTTCCTTATTGATTAGTGGCCTCCAAAAGCTTAGCACATCACCAACATACATATGCATATCCTGTCAGAAAAGATGAGTACATCTAAAAGGCTACTATTTCAATTAGAAAGGTAACGCCCAACCAGATAGTATGGCAAAATGGCCGCGGCTCATTCTATCACTCGAGTAATTACTTTTGTTATTCTTTCTTTGCTTAGAGCTGCTTAATACCCATTTTCCAACCTTCATAGAGTTCAGTCATTTATATGATATTGTAGGTGATGACTTATTTTCAATTCTGCAAGTCATATCCCACAAATGCAAGGCCGTAAATTTGTCGATATTCTATCGTTATTTTCACGGCAAATGTTCAGATGATCTGCATTGTTTATTTTCAATAGTTAAAAAAGATTTGTCGCTAGGACAAGCATTATCACTTCCACAAAGTCGATTCACCCACATTTTCTTTATGTTCGAAAAGTAAGAAGAACTTTCCACGCCGACAATAAATTTTACCTTAGGGAATAGATTCCTACACTATAATGTTAACTTCTTCAAGTATATGATCAACTGTTAGTTGTGCTTTTTATCATATTCACTTTTTACCACCACTTCTTTCATTCATATCCCACACCACATTCATTATAACAATTCTGATACAAACCCTCTATCTTGACTGGCTTTCGTGTCTTTTATTGGATGAATTTTAGTATAAAATTTTACTTAATGATAGGAATCACCTGAGTATTTTATTCTGAGTGAATAATCAGCAATCTGATGGTTACAGTAGCGTGTTTTATGTTATAACTAGTTTAAGGAAGTTACATTTGCACAGAAAACAGCCATATTTTAAATTAGTAATTCTATAAAATTGATCATCAATTTTAATAATCTTTACAGACATTAGCGTGAGATTAACAGCAACAGCACAAAATCACATAAAGAATATTCGTATTACAATCACATAAAGAATATTCGTATTACAATCACATAAAGAATATTCGTATTACAATCAATTGGTTGTTTTAAGACTGTCTTCTTTTCATTTTACAATTTGCTATTTATATTTTTTATTCTTTTTATTATTCATTCTTTGAAATCTCCACGCCCCACATACATAAACCGATTTCTCAATAAGTTGTCATCTTATATCCTCATAGAATTAGATTATACCACTTTTAATGAAGTGCTACAAAACTTACCTTTTAAAAAAAGAATAACTATGAAAAGAAAATTTTATTTATTTCAACTATATTCTTCAGTCTGTTATTCGATAAATTAAAAAAGTAGAACCTCATTAGATATTTATTTTCATACAAACTTCATACACACATACACTGAAATATATATGTATATATACAAATGCAATATTGTATGCCTACACATACGCACGCACGTACACATAAATATGTATAAGATGCTCTGAAAGTAATGCATCTCTGAGCCTCATTTGATAGAACAAGATTTCAGCTATAAAATAATAATTCTCTCAATAGTTACCATTTTTATCCTGCCAAGAGTTCCCTTTTTTATGTGTTGACAACTGTGCAGGGTCACCTTGTCACATCGATGTTGCACTTCTGAAACACATCCTGTCATATCAATTGCTTGATCTTCTTAAAAGTCATTAATGGATATCAATGGCTGCATTTTGCCCGAGTGACGCACATCTATCTGAACCATGTTAAAATGAATCTATTGTTCCTGGGTAGGAAGAAACACGCACTTTTAATGTTGTTAGTGAACATAATAAAATATGATTCATAACTTTCAGAGCGACCCCATATATATTACTAAGTAAACATTAATCAGAAAGATATCATCTAGTCAAAACTAAAATCATATTTTTCAGTGTATCTTCCAGAAAATATGTCGACGGTGGAATATTTGTTGCGACAAGTCTATGCCAACTTTATCAAAATTTATTTGTATTCAATAGTAAAAGCAATGATACAGAGATTGACTTCCCAATTTTATTTCCATGTATTTGTAAATATAAAAGATTTTTTACTGAATTGAGAATTGATATCGATGAGAATAACGTCATGAACACTTGAAGTATATTTATTTCTCGGTCTATGATGTTTATCGATTTCTCTTAGTTCGAAAGTTACTTAAGTATCTGATATTTTTCCTATGAATTTATTTATATCAACATCCCAATTCCCAACATCCAATCAAGTGACTAAATATAAATAAATATGTAGGCTACACAGATCAGTGGAGCATTTTGAAGCACCCTGCACAATTTTTCTTCAGATACTTCACGAAAAGTAGACCCTTATCTTGTGAAAAAGACGGGAGACATTTGCTATAGGTGACTTTTGATGGGTGTCATGGGGAAACAATTTCTCGATCAAATAATTTTTTCTTCCCAGGGTGGCGCAGTATAAAAAAGAGAACACTTTAAAAACGTATCTACTCCGGTTGTTAAGTTTTCTTCTGCAAAAAATATGGTCGTCGGTCAGTTTAGGTGGTTAGCAGCGTATTTGGAATAGATGAGGAATTACGCAAACCCAAGCTATTGCTTTGATATATTGATTTGAAACGACAATTCTTTTGTTTGTGTTTCTATCAATCTAATCTGCAGGTAAAATTCCGATAATCCGGTCTTCATTTAATATGATTGACATCTGACAAAAAATTCATTCACCTTTACTTTCATTTGTATTGAGTTTAATCCAATTTAACAGAAAATAAGCCCCGTTGTCCGAACAAATATTAATCAAAAGTTTCAATGCATATTTAATTCACGGGTTTCTGCTTCTTTTATTGCATGTTTCTTCGAGGCAGTTGTAATTGTATAATAAAGGAATGGGAATATTTTAAATGAGTTAGACTAAAGTATCTCCAACGAAATAACATCTGATAATCTAAATAAATGTATTTGTTCACTTCATTATATATATATATATATATATATATATATATATATATTTAATTTCATCCACATGACTTGTTTCGCTGTATCACAGATCATCAGTGAGGCGACATATCTGTTTGAGTCAAGCCGGGATCGAAACACGACCGATTTGGCGTCAGTCGAAGTTTCTACCCCTGAGCTATCACCGCACGACAGAGGGTAAGGGAAATTCTAGCGTATTATTTTTACGAATGTAAACAAATATTATATATATATACACCCCCATACAACCAAATAGTAAAGAACAAATTGGAACAAAAATTCCTCGCATTAATAGTCAAATACTTTCCTAGAGAAAATAAATTAATTACTATTTTCAATAAAAATACACTAAAATTAAGTTACAGCTGTACTGAAAACTTAGAAGAAATTATTAAGAAACATGATGCTAATATCTTAAATAAACACTTAGACCAGAAACAAAAAATTTTAGACAATAGAAAAATAAAAACAGATGAAGATAAACAAAAATTATGTAACTGTAGAAACCCACACATCTGTCCTCTACAAAATAAATGTCGCAAGGAAACATTAGTACACCAATGCAATATCTCTTCTATTGAAAATCCTGAAAACATAAAAGTCTATATAGGTTGCACAAGCCATGAATTCAAAAAGCGTTTCAACCAACATCAAAGTTCCTTTAGGAAAAATGAATATAGAAATCAAACATCTCTCTCGAAGTACTTCTGGCACCCAGGGCTTAATTTCTATTATTTGTATATCCTTGCTTGAACCGTCTTCTAATGCTCTGAATGGAGCGGCTTGGTGATGGTAGTCGTGGCTCTCGGAGGCGCAGTCCTATGGGTAAAGGAACTTGGATGAGTTCCACCACGGAATATGGGAACGAGCGGCGCAATATCGAGTCTAGTCCGCTACCGAGGTCCGTTTGGTACAGTTGGTATGACGTTTGCCTGTCAGTGTAGCTGTCCGGGTTTCAATTCTCGGTAGTGGATGCGCATTGCTGAGGAGTCCCAAATATAGGACGAAACGGCTGTCCAGTGCTTTCTGCATTCTGTTGAGGTTTCTTCTAGCCTCGATGAATTACTTAATTATCTCAAATCCTCCTTAATTTCTATCATATCCATATAAATAAATAAATTAATTAAAAACAGAGCATCAAATATGAGTATCCATAACGTCAAAACAAAAAAAAAAAAAAACGTTTAAACAAATAAATTAATATGTGTGTGTATGTGTAAATGGTTCGTTGTGTGTACGCTTGAATGCCTAAAAATTAATTTAAAACGTAACATCAAATATAGCAGAATGTCTTATATCATGTTTCACCTCGTGGTTTTTGCTTACTTGAAATAATTTGAAAAGCTAGTTAGTTTGAAAAGTCGGCTTTCAAAATCAATTTCTAATCTAGTCTTTTGTGATCTTTATAGACATATGACTATTTTTTTGATGGCTTTACTAATTGGTAAAGCCATTATCTGTCCTGAAAATAGTAATGACCTTAGCATTTAGTTTATATTTGGGGTTAAAAGGAAGTAAACATTGTATGAAGGAAATAAGCATCGTTGGCATTATTTAATTGTATTTAATCGCATAATTTGAAAATCTGACAAATATTTTAAATTATTAAAAATGATCTATGTGAAATAGACGAATATCAAAATGTTTAAATTTATCAAACTGCTTTCGCTAATACCATTTAAGGGCATAGGCAAACCTCTCAAACAAACAACTCCATAGTGCAGTAGAACTAGGCAAAGGAACTTGACACGCGCAATGACGGGTAACATTATTAATACATACATACATACATACATACATGCTTGTATTTGTGTGAGTGCGCGCGTGTGTGTGTGTGTTACTATATATGCATTTATGTATGTATTCAATTCTGCTCGCTCCTTGCCTGTGGCTATTTGTCTGTCAGTCTCTTGATTCTCCTCTCACCTTCTGATTGTTAGTCACAGTTTACAATGCCCACCATCCGTGTTTGTCCGTCTCAGCTTGCTATGACGACAAGAGACTCCATCATATTTAACACTCGGACAAGCAACGTCTTTTCGAGTGAATGATTGAACCATTGCTCGGAGCAAAAAAATCGTTCTATAAAACACAAGCCGTAAATACTTCGTTCGATGACAAGCCCGTTTTGTTGTTTATCAATTCTTTTTTTTTTTACAGATTCGTTTCTTATTTTCTTCATTTCCTTCGTTTGTGGAGAAATAATTATTGTATATAATCTCAGTAATATTTACAGCATGAATCCAGAGATATTTAATGGCACCAGTAGAAACTGCCATCTGTTGGACAGAAGGAGACTCTCGCATAAAACTTTCAGGGTCTCATGTTAAAATTAAAGCAAAGAAATCCTATAGAATGTGTACAAATTCTTTTCCCCCCCAAAAATAACTTGTCAGAAAAAGTCTTACATAGTCTTGAACGAAAGTATATTCTGATTGATTTATTTTGTTTAGCGATATTTAGGTATTTGCCGAAATCTAAGTACATAATTTTATACTTTCAAGTAAAAGTTTATTTTTAGTTTGTACATCATAAAATGTATTGTTAGTAATTTTACTATAAAAATGTATTTTTATGATTTTTTTAGTGTTGCATTGATTGTCATTTTGCTATAGTAATGTATTGTTGGTCATTTTACTATAAACATGTACTATTAATTTTTATTTGGATGTTCACTATTTGCCCATAGCTCGGATACTAATAGGTGCTACCACCCGGGTTAGGGTGGACCTGGGAACAACAGCTGTTCCACGCCACCAAAAACCTCCAATCTCATCAACAGAGGCCTTGCTGCCGGATGAAGTTTATCGTCATACTGAGAAGGCAGTGAATTCTGTAAATATCTATTAAGTATTATATGGTTAAGCCAAAACATAAATCCCAGGAAGAAATAAATATAGATTCAAGAAAACAGATCTTAATTGATATGTATAAAGTGATAAGATAAAATACAATATATGTTTCACTGGAATATAGATAGAGTTCTTGGTCAGATCAAGAAGCATTCCTCTGTATATCCTCGCCTGGAAACATTAATGAGGGATTTGATCTTGCTGGAGAGTTTCAAATGAGGATCAAGTGTTACAGAAACTGCGGAGAATATTAAATTTATTGTATTTCTTCAAAGATCCGATGTTAGATTATATAGTTGCAATATACGGATTTAAATACTGAATACTAAAATCTGGTATCAACTTTGTATGAGAAAGCCTTAATTGATAATTAAACTTTCAGGACAGTTTCACTCAATAATCATTGGATTTGCACCGACCTGTGTGCAATCGGAAAGAAGAACTAGGTAAGTGGGTTTGACTGAATTGAATATTAACAGAGTTGTCTATTCGTTTCTATTACTCGTCCTTCAAAAACAGCACTTATATCTGGAACACTTAATACGAAGTAGCCATATCATATAACTCAACCTCAACAATTTTTTTATTGTTTTTCAGTATCAGATAAATTTTTGATTATCAAATAAACTCTCAGCTTACATAGCACACTTTAGGCTTTGACATCTGCCACCGATAACGAACTTGCCATCACGTCTCCATCTACAAAAGGCTTTCGTTCTTCACTGTCCAGAGCAACCATCTACATACCACCCCAAAATGTTATTGGTTGTCATAGTTGATCAGTTCTCTTCACTGACTAATGAATATAAACAAATAGAAAATGACATTTGTTTGGGTTTTACCCTTTTCCCGCCAAAAATGATTGTTATCAAATGTCCCGCAATTTCAATTTTGAACGAGAGTTTAGTTTTATTTTGTTTTACAATCCACACGTGTTCCTTCTCCTCATAGATTCATCAACTACACCTCGACTTCGCTGTTGCAAGCAGCTGGATTAAGAGTGACACATTTTATAATTATTACTGGTTTAGATTAAATCAAAACACTAAACAATGCAAACTAAACTACTTAAGTTGAATATGAATATATGAATCAATTGAACCAAGGATCGACGTTAATCAACACTGAAATTGCATTAATGCATTTGAATATTACTGTACACAATTCTTAAAAAAATGACATTTATATTGTCAGAAATCGTCTTACAAAGTCTTAGACGAGACTAAATTCTGTAAATAGTTATTTCAATCTGACCTGTTGACAATGGCTACGGGTAAAAAAAAACGGTAAAATGTAATAAAGTTAAAAACAAACATAAAAGAGTTCAAATAGAAAACGATAGATAGATAGAAAAGTGAGCAATAATAATATTCAAAGACTAAAGTATTTGCTAAACAAAAGAACAGATTATGGCGAAATGAGGACATGAAAGGAAGTCCTAATGTACACAATGGAAATCACTGCGAATTAAATATTAAAAGAACCCCCTATGTTAAAAATTAAATAAATAAGAAAAAATTATAAATGTAGATTTTTTTCTTTGTTTTTGTGACATAAAACAGGGCAAAAGAAGTATATATTTAAATACAATGTGACATGAAGTATAACGACAATGAAAATATCTTGAAGATCCTAAAGGTGAAACTATAGTAGCTGGTGAGGAATGTATAACATTTTTAATAGAATGGATCTTAGTATTGATTTTTTTGCTTAGATATTGTTTTTCACTATTGATTGATTTGTCTTTTTTATGACTCATCAAGTTTTTTATGGATTATTTAAAACCGAAACATATAAGGATTTCTAATGACAAAATCGTGTTCGGACGATTTGCGAGGGAACAAAGATCAAAGAAATTAGGTTCAAACCGTGTCCAAAGACATGAACTGTAACTGTACACTTAACCCGATTTAAGGATGTCATACTGTTAAGAAATATGTTAAATCATAAAGCTTAAATATAAGTATAAAGTGTAGGCAAATATGGTCGTGGTCAATGTCGCTTGATCCGCTCGTATTGAACTTTTCACAAGTTTAACGTAAGTTTGATACAAAGCCAAACATGCAAACATTTGCCTTCAATTTAATCGGAGCATAAACAAGAGCTTACAGATACATTGCAAAGACCTCCTGGCGTAAATATGAAGCAATTTCTCAAGTAACTGTCTTTGTGCACTCCTTCCACCTTTTCTTTCCGGATGCCATTTTATTCTACACCTTTATTGCTGCAATTATCTGACACCTGTCTTTGAAAACTCACCTCACTTCCCATTGACCCATCTTTGGTTCCTGGCACACACGGACGATCATTGCTTTCTCAATTCTTTCTCATTCTTCGTCTTTCTCTCGTTCTCTATTCGTGTCAGTATCTCGATTTTCTCGGTCTTATACGCTTGTTCTGACTTGTTCTCCCTCCATTATGATTCCATTGCATAGTTTTTCAACTCTCTTACCAACCTTTCTCTATTTATCACTCTTTCTCGTATTTTATTGGAATCATTTTTTCTTTTATTTCAATCCATTACACATCTCTTTATCTTTCAATCTATTGTACATCTCTCTTTCAATCTATTGTACATCTCTATATTTTAATTAATTATACATCTCTCTTTCAATTCATTATACATCACGCTATCTTTCAATCTATTATACATCTCTCTATCTTTCAATTCATTATACATCTATCTTTCAATCTATTATACATCTATCTTTTAATTAATTATACAACTTATCTATCTTTCAATTCATTATAAATCTCCCTATCTTTCAATCTATTATACATTTCTCTATCTTTTAATTCATTATACATCTATCTTTCAATCTATTATACAGCTTTCTATCTTTCAAGTCATTATACACCCATCTCTCTCTCAATTCATTATACATCCCTCTATCTTTCAATTAATTATATATCTCTATATCTTTCAATTCATTATACATCTCTCTATCTTTCAATCTATTATACATCTATGTTTCAGTCTATTATACATCTTCTATCTTTCAATCTATCATACATCTATCTATCTTTCAATTCATTATACATCTTCTATCTTTCAATCTATCATACATCTTTCTATCTTTCAATTCATTATACATTTCTCTATCTTTCAATCAATTATACATCTATCTTTCAATTCATTATACATCTCTCTATCTTTCAATCTATTATACATCTATGTTTCAGTCTATTATATATCTTCTATCTTTCAATCTATCATACATCTTTCTATCTTTCAATTCATTATACATTTCTCTATCTTTCAATCAATTATACATCTATCTTTCAATTCATTATACATCTCTCTATCTTTCAATCTATTATACATCTATGTTTCAGTCTATTATATATCTTCTATCTTTCAATCTATCATACATCTTTCTATCTTTCAATTCATTATACATTTCTCTATCTTTCAATCAATTATACATCTATCTTTCAATTCATTATACATCTCTATCTTTCAATCTATTATACATCTATGTTTCAGTCTATTATACATCTTCTATCTTTCAATCTATCATACATCTTTCTATCTTTCAATTCATTATACATTTCTCTATCTTTCAATCAATTATACATCTATCTTTCAATTCATTATGCATCTCTCTATTATATCATTCACTTACTTTCTCTTTATATCACTTCATTTTTATTCATGATACTTCTCTCTCTCTCTCATTTTCAATTTCTCGCCATCTATGTCTCTCACACGCGCTCTTTGTGCAAAGCACTTTCTCTTTTTACAATTCAATATATTCTCTTAATCTCTTTCTTCTTTCTCTCTCAGAGTTTCTCGCTCTCTCACACTCTCTCTGTCTCCTCCTCTCTCTCTTTCGTTGCACACATATATGTATGTGTGTGTGCGCGCGCATTTGCGTGTTATGCAATTTGCTGTTTTAATTTATTTAAATATGTATATGTATCTCATTTTCTATCACCCTCCTTTTCTTTATATGTATTTCTTTACTCTTTTTTTTAACTGACCTCTCTTCCACTCTCTCTATCTCTCACATTTCCTCTTTCCTGTCCCGTCGACCCGTAGAGAAAGAGAAAGACAGTTAGAAGTTCAGCTGTCTCTTGTTTCCTATTTGTTTCGATTATGACCTTTTAAAAACACTATTTTTGTTCTTATTCTCTTCGTTTTCTGACATTGTTACAATCGATTAGTTGCCGTGAAATGCATTTCTTATGCGTACTTTATTCTAATGAAAGCATAGAGAATCTTCTTGGATTCAAAGGTGAGTTTCGGTATTCCTCACAAACACCAGAGTTCGATGTTCGACCCAAGGTAATTAAATAATACTAATTAAATACTAATTTCCAAAGCTTGTCGACTCTCTCCGCTGAGTATAATAGAGCAAACAGGTATATTCCCATGATCCTCTGTTTTTGATGACGCTAAGCTTAATAGTATCTAGATCTATTCGTAGATATTTATACATCTATGCTAAAAGCACGAGTTCTCATTCGATCAGCGGAATTAAAAGCATAAATTTTTAACATTACTTATGTGCATATCCATTTTGGAATATCATCTTCTGTTAGTGACTTAAAACCGTATGCCTGGCAGCTAAGTAATTTGTTTCAATGGTCAGTGTTAGAGTCAAGACAAAAGCTAGGATCTTGAATAAGAATCTTCGTTACTTGGAAGATTGGTGCTACAGGATCTTTTTATGTTCATTGTTAATTTGTGCCATCCTCAGCCTAATTTTAAACAGAATATCATTTCGAGCCTGTATATGACTTCCTATTACGCTCTAAAACAGACGCTGTAACATCTGTGAAGATTCGCTTAATTCTGATGAACATGAAAAATATGTAAATTACATTTTGCCGAAAAAAGCTATGAGAGATAAATTTTGATGTGACTGTTCTAATACTATCAAAGATTTCTGGTGATAGGAGTTCATTATTTAATACATGATGGCAATGTATTAACTTAGTAATGTCCGACAATGAAGATTCTGTCACTTCTGCAGGAGTCGTGAATCGAGAATATGAAAAGTTCGTTAAATGAAATAACACTTCATTTATTTAAATGCCTGATATTCGTACAGGGTTTAACTTCTAATAAGGGCGCGGAGATAAAATTCAGGATACTTGCTGAATTAGAAAGGGATTCCAAATTAACTCCCCAGAATATCAAAACTACAAACGTTTTTCAAATCCTAACAGGACAGGAAAAAAAAACCTTCAATACCTAATACTTGTCATGGTTCTGGAGGTAAGCATTTTAAAAGTGATTGTTTTTTTTTTCAAGAACAAAAAATGCTACGAATGTGGGAGATTAGGAAAGCAAAGTATGTGTTGCAGATACAAAAAAAATGAAGGAAAAATAAAACGTATGTGAACATAACCTAAAAGGGAAATTAACAATCATCTCAAAAGAGGAAATTTGTTTTTGTGTAAAAAATAAAATTGCAACTAGATACAGGATCTGATATCACTATCATAATTTAACAAGACATGGGGAAAATGGGCAAACCCAGTTTATTGACTTCTGATAGAGTTGCGCATGGAGTCTCAGGAAAGTGATTGAAGTTTGGGGGTGAATTCAGCTGTAACGCTTCTTTTGTGGAAAAAACCAAAAAGCGGTAGTGTTTGTTTTAAAGAATATTTCTAATTTGTTTGGAACAGACTGGATTGCATTGTTTGATCTTTGGACCTTCCAATTAACTCTTTTTGCAACAAGATAAATATTGTTATCCCCCATTACGGCAACAGACAAATTGAAAAGTGAACTGAAAAAGAGTTTTTCAGAAGGTCTAGTGACATGCACGAAAGCAAAAGCTAAGTTTGAATTAAAAGACAAAAAGGAGTGTACCTTTTGCGGCCTTAAATCCAATTAATAATGAATAGGACAGGCGAGAAAAATTAGGTGTGATCTCAAAAATAAACTATTCCGAATGGGCATCATCAACAGTCTACGTTAAAAAAAGAAATGATAAACCTACCTATGTGCTGATTTTTCAACGGGGTTAAATGAAAGTTTAAAACAACTACCTGTTACCAAGTCCAGCGGAAATTTTTGCCAAATTGAATGGAGGTATTTTTTTTCTAAATTGGATCTGTCAGACGCTTACCTACAAGTAAAATTATTAACAATTAACACCCATAGAGGGTTATACTAACCGACTTCCTTTCGGTATAAAGGTAGTACCAAGCCTATTCCAACAGATAACACGCTTGCCGTTTTGGATTGTGCTCAAGCATATTTGGATGACGTACTTATTAAAAGTAAGACCTGAAAGCAACATACGGAAGATGTAAAAGAAGTCTTTGAGAGAATCAAAGAAAATGGTTTTAAGAATAGTGAAGGAAAATGTGAATTGTTTATGTCTAGTGATTTTAAGTTTTTTTTTTGTTTTTTTTTGCAAATCATTAACAATACAATATACTACAAGTCCCCTTTATCATCCAAGATCAAACGGACAAGCGGAACGGTTTGTCGATACGTTTAAAAGGGCACTAAAAATGTCGGTCAGATGTAGAAATGCTGCAACAAATTTTGAGTGTTTACAGAATAACACCAAACCCTAACACCGTGTCTGGAATGTCGCCTGCTGAGTTCGCCAGGAAGTTTAAGTTCGTTTTTAATAAATTATTACCAGAATGTAAGGAGAGAACATCAAGAAATGACAACACCAATAAATACTTCAAACCTAGAAATAAAGTATTTTTTTATAAAATGTATCAACGTGGAAAGGAATTCTGAGAAGATGGGGTTATAAAAAAACCGGATCGGCAAAATGACATACATGGTACAGGAACAAAGGTGGGAATATAAGCGACACCTTAATCAGTTAAAACGGAGATTCATTGATTTAGCAAGTTCACGAAAAGAGGTACCAACTGTATGACATGTTTGACGTACCGACGTCACCAGAAATTAGTGAACCAAGGAGGTACAGTAAAAGAAAAAGAACAGCAACAGATCATTTGAATATTTAATCGAAGCTGAACAAATATAGACTCCAGAGTAATTCATCTAAAAGGAGAGATGCTATAGAGGAATAAAGTGTCGCTGCCGACACTTGAGTTTGAACATAGATCGCCAGTGAGCAAACACAGGCGATCCCATTACTGAATTAAGTGGATCCGGTAACCATGGGATATACGCAAAGTAGAAAGTAGCGTGACGTTTAGACGATCGCTATTTCAAGTCTATCCTCTATTATTATACGGACCGCTATTCTCTACACTATTCACTATATTATTTCACTATACAGATTACTATACGATGGAATTAGTGCGAGTGTTATTCGAAGGCATCTGACATCAGTATTGTTCAACGGCGTACTATAGTTGTATCGGCGATTACAAAGTCTCAACTACAACAAGCGTTACGAAAGTGACAACGAATATTCGTTGACTTTACAAAAGTGGCAACGAGTGTTCTTTAACATCACAAAAAAAAACGATGCAAATATTTTGATATTTGTTGATCACAAAGTAATTTTGAACTGACGCGTTAGAATCTTTTATGAATCGGGATTATTTCAAGATAATAGATTTAGGTTTACTTTAATACATCTCTTTAGTGTAACATGAATCCTGTCAAAATTGAAGTGAAAATTAATATAAAATTTATGCGAAAATTTACGGTAAAACTTGGGTGGAAAACTGAGTACATTATTGCGGCCTCGAGAAATATTCATGGAGAGAAACCCCCGAAAAGACAATTGGAAATGGATATTCGTTTCAGAAAAGGATGAAAGGGATTTGAGTATAACAAAAAGTCCAGTAGACCATCAACATAATCAGTTTTTAAATCTATACTGTTCGAGATTTTTAAAAAAAGGGGCTATAGACGATTAGCAACAAAAACCATATCTAATACGGTAGAAATTTCAGTTAGTTCAGTCCTCACAATTTTATCTGAGAATTTAAAGTTAACCAAACTTTTGCTCGTTGAGTACCGAAATTGTTGTGTCTAGGTCAGCAACAGGCACGAGCAAAGATTTCAATGGAAAATTTAAACAAATGAGATCATAATCCGGAAGGCTTTCTCATGTGACTGAAGAAAAGATTATGGTGATAGTTTCTGGGTAATTTTGCTAGTTGATATTTTAGAGGGGAAACGATAATAACATCGGTTTATTACGAAAGGGTTTTGAGAAAATTAGCTAAAAATTTAACACAAAAGGAAACTCCGTTGAAAAAAATCTTTTTTTTTCAGAAGGACACGATCCGTTCTGCTTGTCAAACCAAATGATTACTGAGAAAAAGTTTGAGTGGAAATCATTTAACACTATCTCATTTTTTCTTGTTTCCAAACCTTAAAATATTTTGAAAAGTTTCCATTTTGAGATTAATGACGTAAAAAAGGGTGTTTTGACATAATTAGATTCTCATGACCTTCATTTATTTTGAGGTTTTATAAAAAAAATTAGTTCCATTGCTTACAGAATTGACTCCATGTTGATGGAGCTTATATGTGGAAATAAACATTGTAATTAAAAAGGTTGACTTTTAATATAATTTTCCCACGTGATTTTTGAGTGCTATTGTACTTTTATGCGGACTTATATTTATTGTAACGCAATAGAAAATAGTTACCTGAAAATTATGTACTTGCGTTAGACGAGGCTCATAACCACTTCAAGTTGACCATTTTTTCCTTTTTGACATTAAAAACTTTCTCTTATCATTCTT